ACGAGAAATCCTACATCGATTATAACTCTTTCAATCGACCAATCATATCGCGACTATTTTAATTGCTATTTTTCTGATTTTATTTTATTTATTTATCTTTAGATTAGTTTTAGGATAATATAAATACTCCAAGGGATTTTATTTTTCCCTTATGTCTTTTATATCTTTTATTATTTTACGTTCTTTTTAGTTTTCTCTCGAACCCTAGTTTTTCATGGCATCTCCATGGATTCTTCCATGGATGATTCTTGGGTTTATTATTTCAATTCATTGAGGTATTTTATTTCTATTTCTTGTTTTTAATTATGTTTTATTCCTTAGATTTAGTTTTAATTATGTATTTCATGCTTGAGTAGTTAATTTCTAGGGTTTGGTAATCCATGTGTATACTATGAATCTTCTTTGATATTATTGATATTTTGATTATTGGTTTCTCTAATTGATAGTGTTTTATTGTTAATCTTGCAACCTGATCAATTGTTTGATTAATTCTTGTTAATAAGAGTTTGGATCGAAAGATCTTACTTTTAGAGGCTTACCTACAATTAGCAATTTTGATTATGTTAGCGACTGAACTACATATGTTGAATTGAGAGCGTTATGACCCGACCGTAGGCTTAGAAATTGCTCTAGATAATTGATTGATTGAATTGTTATTGATATTTGATAGATTTAGAACTATAAGCATGGTGAACCACAACCCTAGGTCTTTTTATTAATTGTTTTATTCCTATTTAAATTTAGACAATTTTCTACCCCAATTTCGTGACATAGTTTAGTTTCACCAAATTCTTAAAGATTAGATTAAATAGCCATCTCTCTGTGGATTCGACCCTACTTACCCTACTACATTTTTAGTTGGTTTTGTTAGGAATTTATTTTTGACAGGTGTACGACAACCTATCACTTACCACAATTTCCAGCCACCACCCAGGCACCACCACCCTCCGCACGTCCTCCACCACTCGTCGCACCTCCCCTGCCCCTCGCCGCCGCTTTCCGCACCCTCATAGATCTCCCCTCCCCAAATAAACCTCCCCTAGCCCCACAAAACCCTAAAAACAACTCCCTCTCCCCGTAAACCGTTGGTCGGCCCTCCCACCACCCTTAAAACCCTAGTCGCTAGGGTTTTGAGGGTGGTGGGAGGGTCGGCCGACGGTTTTACGAGGAGAGGGAGTAGTTTTTAGGGTTTTTCAAGGGTTGTGGGATGTTTTTGCGGGGGGAGGGGTGGGGCGGCTAGGGTCGGGGGAGGGACGGCGATGGTCAGGGGAGCGGCGGCGAGGGTCTGGTATGAAGGTGGGTTGGTTTCCCGGTAGTGTTGGTAGGTAGGAAGGTGGTGATATGGTGGTGTGATGGTGGATAGGGAATGGGAATGGAAATACCTAGGGGGATGGGAAATGAACTTGGAAGGATTGGGGGAATGGAGGGGGTAAAGGGAATGGGAAAAATTAGCTAACAAACAACAACAAAGGGAATCAAGATGGTTGATTCCCTTTTCCTTTGATGAAACCCTCAACCAAACGGCCCCTAATTACAACAAGTTCAGTTTATCTCGAGGCTGCCTAATTTCTAACTATGATAAATTTAGAAGGGGTAAATTGGTAACTGCACACTTACGCCATTCTAGACTTCTAGCTCAACGCAAGAAAGGTTTACTTTGTTAATGACTCACGTTTTTTTTATATAATTTTTTTTTATTTTTTTTCAATTTTTAAATTTTTAATCGGTAAGAAGAAAGACCCTGATCGAACCTCAATCCTCATGATTTTTTAGTCCAGTATTTGCGGGTCGGATACATTGAGAAAGTAGCTCTAGTGGTGCAATCCTTACCATTATACTAAAGCCTTGTTTGGTTAACATGGGAATAAAATTCACATAGGAAATTACATTTTATGGGAAGTTATTTCCCTCATGAAATTCCTAGGAATATCCTAAATTTGTTTGGTTGGCAACGTGGAAATTAATCTCATAAATTTTGATTGACCAAGGGGGAACTAGATAATGTACTTTGCTTGTTTTGTGGCATGTTGAAATTCCCATGAATTTCCACTTCCCTCATTTTGCTTTTTTATGTTAACCAAACAACTCATCAATTTATCAAATCCTATAAATTTTCAATTCTCCTATTTTATATTGTCAACCAAACAAGACCTAAGTTTAGCTTGGTCCGACTCATAGTTTTGTTTGTATTAACAGAATTTTATATCAAATGATTGATAGTTTGGTGCCAATACAGATAGTACAATACACAACTAAGTACCAACTACCAAGTTTACTATTACAGACAAGTTGTTTAACTTTTAAAAAATGCAGCGAATCTCCCGTCTATTTCTGCTTGAAAGAATTAAAAAAAAATGAAAAAAATAAAAAATAAAAAAAATAAACGATAATGTTGCATGTAATATGTAGCCCTTCAGGTTACAAATAAGAATTTAATATCTTTTTCTAATTTAGTATTAATTTAAGATTATATGACAAAATCATGCTTAACTAGTGTAATGAATGTTATATTTTCATTGTTTATTCCATTTTTAGCTTATTATATGTAGAGCTATATATAGCAAATTTTTTTAAAAATAAATGCTTCTTTTACTAATATTACGGCTGAGTGCCCGAATCTAGTTCTTCAGTTCAAATCCCTTTTCCTCTCATAAAATTCAAAGATTCATGCGTAGAATCTGTATCAGATTCTTCCATTGTCAAAGCAGTCAACGATTAATTAAATGACAGATGAAATCAACCAAATTTTCAAGTAAAAAAGTAATCATTTTTCAAATTAGAATTCATAATTTGGTAATGAGTTTGCATCTTCAACAACCATTTGGTGAAGCCACCAACTAAAGATCAAATATTCCATTGTTTACTTCCTTTGCTTGTGTTTTCTTTTTCTTTAAGTGATCAACTCTAGAAGCAACAACACAATAACCATGAAACACCTAAACAATCTAATACTAATTTTGAATAATAAAAACAAATGGCTTGCTCATACTCATTTGAGTTAGCTAGTGCCCATCATTGTTATAGTCTGTAGCACTGCTTTAAGACAAACCTGCTAGTCTTCCCGAAACTCGACATTTCTATTCAATTTTACTACTAGTATATAAAATGTCACCCACAAGTCATTTCAACTCTTCTACATCACCCAGATTAATATAAGCTTAGCTCATTGAGCTACAATTATATTCTGTAATCATCTTCTATTTTGCTTAAGATATATGGGATCCACGGAGCGATCAAAGAAGCGGATTCATCTATGGAAGAAAGCTGTTTTGCATTTCTTGCTATGTTTTGTGATGGGGTTCTTCACGGGTTTTGCTCCTACTGGTAAACCTCCATTTACTAGTCTCAAGTCAACAGCGGACATACACTATAACGAGTCCATTGAGCTAGCACCAAGGCCTACGCTGGGTGTAGCAGGCAACAACAGTTCTGCTAACAGAAGCCTATCAGAAGCTCCAGACAGTGCAATAGAGGATGCAAATTTTGTCGAGAGTGATAATGAAAGTGATGAACTGAATCCAAGGAAACAAATCATTGTTATTACTCCTACAAATGATAAGGATCCTCTAAGAGGAGTTTTGTTAAGCAGAATGGCAAATACTCTGAAACTGGTGCCTCCGCCACTGCTGTGGATTGTTGTGGAGTCCCAGCTGGAGTCTTCTGGTGTATCAGATATACTCAGGCGTACGGGGGTAATGTATAGACACTTGGTGTTTAAGGAGAATTTTACAGATCATAGAACTGAAATGGATCACCAGAGAAACCTTGCACTAAAGAATATTGAGCATCATCGGTTAAGTGGAATTGTTCATTTTGCAGGCCTCTCAAATGTATATGATCTCAGCTTCTTTGATGAAATTCGAGATATTGGGTAAGAATTTTTCTCCCTTCGTTCTCTTATGCTACTGGTTCTAGTATATCCAAAGTTTTTGTGTCATAGAAACAGATGAATTGTTGCCCCTACTGTGTGATAATGTGAGAAAGCATGTTTCAGTCGAATTTAGCTTGCTAGCAAAGTAGAAAAACGCTGTGCCTTTACGTTTTATTTCTTCTTGCGGTAGATTCTACTCATCAAGGCTGATAAGAAAATGAGGTGTTTAAACAGGACATTTGGGTCATGGCCCCTTGCGAAACTGTCAGCAAGCAGAAAGAAGATGATAATTGAAGGGCCAGTCTGCCAATCTTCCCAAGTCATCGGATGGCATCTGAAGAGCTTAAAAATGGATGCCGAGGAATTGGCCATCCACATTTCCAGTTTTGGATTCAATAGCTCCATCCTATGGGATCCTGAACGATGGGGTTATCTGCCTTTTGCAGATGCCACCAAACAGGTTCATACTTTAACTCTTTGTTATGGCCCCTTTGCGAAGTGATATCAACTAAATATAATAAAGGCAGAAAAACAGTAACCAGACTATGCTAATGACGTTCAATGTAATTCACTCTTCAATCACTAAACTAATCACAAAACAAAATTGTATTGCAGAACTCACTCAAATTTGTCAAAGAAGCAGTTCTTGAAGACGAGAGCAAAATAAAGGGAGTACCCTCGGGAGATTGTTCCAAAATAAACATCTGGCAACTGCATCTTTCCTCCAAAATTGTACAAGTAAATCATGTTCCAGATTCTACATTGGACGGAGAGCGAAGATAATGAACCAAGGCAGCAGGGGATTTCATTATTCATTCTTATGCTTTTCTTCTTTATAAATGTGTCTTCTGATATAAAACTTGTATAATTGGTTTCAGTACATTTTTTGTAACCAGCAATTGGAAAAATTCTTTCCGCTTAGCAATGTAATTTACAGACCGAATCATAATGAAATTAGATGGTACAGAACTTTTCACTGGGGATTGCTTTTGTTGTTTTCATAATTCCTCTAATGCACCTCCAAATCTCAGCTAAAAAGTTACATCCACACATCCAACAAACATTTATCAAAACTAGACATGACTACGAAGGAGAGCAGACAAAAATCGCCATTTTCATGTATGCGTGATCAGGCAAAAACGAAACTTTGGGATTCAGATGATTAGTAATTAGCAAATTGTCTTTTACAATGAGAATGTAGTAACACCACAGGGAGTGAATTTTGTGTTACCTGATTAAATCATCCTGAAAAAGTTAGCATCATGTGCAGATAGATTATCATCTAAGTTTGCTAGCCGCTTAAACTATATTACTACCTAGGTACAGCCCAGTTGCTACTTACATACATATACAAGGATAGAATAACACTTACAAGAAGAGAGAGGGTCGTCATAGAGAAACATGTCAGAAACTTACATCGTTGTTCTTCATGGGTTACTTATACTTCAGATCAGTGGACAAAGGAGAAAAAAGAGGATCCTCGCCTTTTTTATAGATGTCAATCAGCTGTTTGGCATTCTTCTTGGCAAGCCTGCAACAATCATCAAGACCGCTTTGATCATGCTGCTGTAACTCATCCACAGACCTCTTCATCTTGCCTTTTAAATCCCCATCTATAAGAAATTTCGCCAAAGAAATTCCCCTAGAACCAATATACACACTTCAGACAGATGCAACTACAAGCGTATTTTCTCTTAATAAGGTGATGATTAAGAATTATAAATAAACAAATAACAAACAAAACAAATAAACAGAACTTTATTGATGAGATGTGGATGATGTCAGTAACTACCACATGTATTATATCTTCCAGCATATAAAACTCAGACTGATAATAGTTTTCTGATTGAACATTTTGTCCCAGAGTGACACATAGTAACTTTTGCACACAAGCTGCAAAGTGATATTTCAAGTTGATCAATGAAAGAACTGCTGCATGCATTAGCAGCTTCTTACTCAGTTGAAATCAGATTCATAAAATGGTGCCAATTACATCAAGCATATACGAAGTAAAATATTTGACAAAGCAGTTCAACTGTTTCATACCAAAATTACCAGCATGTTTTTCTCATAACTAAAGTTAGCTACTTACACAGTCAATCAGTCAACATTGTTTGCTAGAGAGTGGCAACCAATTGTTCAACTAAATAGTAAGAACATATAGGTGTATACGATTACAATTTTAGATGAAACAAAGCATAGATGAAATTTTACTAATTATTTCTCACATAGGTACTTCACACAAACACAAAAGTGTTTGAAGAAAGAGAATCTTGACTAAAATAAAGATTATTGTGGTTAATAAAGATAATTAGCAACTTCACTAGCCAAACAGCTGCCTGGTGTGGATAAAAACAGATTTATACATAGTATTATCTTTGGCTAGGATGCATCTTCATTTTACCATTTCAAAATCCAGGATGTTCTGCTGATTGGCTATGATCCAAAAGCCGTATGAGTCAAGGACTCCATAGATGAATAAACAAGATTTGATAATAAGAAAATGTGAAGGGCAGTTTTATCATATCAAGTGGTAATATAGCAATACTATGTGTTAGGTATATCAATTCTTATAACTTTCAGAAGAGATTTATTAAGCAATCTTATGCTAATTCTAAAAGATCTCAACTGACATTTTAGATAATCTTAAACTGAAAGATTTATAATATTTAAACATTGGTTACCTGTCAGCATCACACTTCTCAAATCCTTTGCTGCTAGCACAAATTGAACCCTTCATCGAAGACTTAAACTGCCTATATAATGCACAAACAGCCTTGGCACAAAAGTCAGGATCTTCGTCAAAAGCACAGACCATATCAGCTGCAACCTCCAGCTTTTTATTTTCCTTCCTCTGCCGGCAAGTGGCCATGTACTTTTCAAGTTGAGGGGGACAAGAACTATGAGCTTTGTTGTTTTCAAAATTAGAATTACCGTATTCATCTTCCTTACCACCATTATCCACAAACCCATCAAATCTTGGCTCTCCAATGTCTCTAACGAGCTTTTCTTCACATTTTCTGATAACTGACAGTGTTTGCCTTTGCTGAACGTTAAATTTATGCCCATCACCTGCAGTTGATGGAGTTGATAATACAGGCTTGACTGATCCATATGACCCACGTTCAAGCTTCTTCATATGTTTCTGGTTAAGGCTATCATCATTAGAACTATCGCATTGTTCTCTCAAATTCTCAGGATGTACATACTTCCTTTTGACACCACTAACACGAAGAGGGTACTCATCATCGTCGTCACTGTCAACAATAATAATGCTGTTCACTGTGGTCTCCTTTATTCCAGAAGCCCCATTTTCTTTTACAATTTCTGCCTCAAAGTCCAAAGTTCTCTTGACAGCATCATCAGATTTCAAGAAGCCTTTGGGTTCATTACTTTTATAAACAAAAGCTGAATCTGAAATAAAGGACTATCAGAACAGGCGTAATAACATCACACAGCAACACAACATAGAGATGCAACCATGTTCACTTAACAGCAATATTACACAACATGACCGATAACCTGAGCATAAAATTTCAAGCACAGCCAATTGTTTTCTCATTAAGGTTTCTTTCTTCTCGACTAATCTTAAATTATTAACCCTTGTCTATACTAATTAAAGCTATGAACTGAACTTGATTAGCCTGTATCTGAACTTACTGAACCCCACTAAAATCAGGCCAAGATGTTCCTCTTCACATCCAAATGTATACGACAACAGTACGATGCTCAAATTTCCATAGTGATAAATCTTTCAAATAATTTAACCATATAAATTGATCAAAATTACAGATATAGTAAGGTCAGATGAGCATATACCTGCTTCCTGAGCATTGCAAGTGAGACCAATTCCTTCAGAATCAAGAGCCTTTCCAATTACAGATAAAATTCTCCCACACTGGCTACTTATAAATGTAGCATCTCTTTTCAAATCCAAGCACATCATTTTGGTTATATCTCCCTCAAGTTTTGATAACCAATTTTCGGCTTTTTCCATCTTAGCTGTTAAATTCTTCTGCTCTATAACTAAATCCTCTTTCTCTTTGTTTAGTTCCTGGATTATTTCATCTTTCTCTCTCAAGCTTTCTAATTTCTCCCTCTCTAAAACCTCCTTAACTTCCTCAATTCTCCTTGCCTCATTCCTCCTAATTTCTTCACAACTTGCATTCAATCTATCCTTCTCCTCCTCCAACCCCAAAATCCTCATTTGTAACCCCTCAACCTCCTTCACCTCATCCTCCAACCGCGCCTTCTCCTTCTCCAACCCCAAAATCCTCATTCTTAACCCCTCAACCTCCTTCGCCTCATCCTCAAACACCGCCTTCTGCTTCTCCAACTGCGCTTTCTCCTTCTCCAACCGCGCTCTCTCCTCCTCCAACCCTGAAATCTTCATTCTCAACCCCTCAACCTCCTTCGCCTCATCCTCAAACACCGCCTTCTCCTTCTCCAACACTGCCTTCTCCTTCTCCAACACCGCCTTCTCCTTCTCCTCCTCCAACTCCAAAATCCTCTTTTGTAACCTCTCATTATCCACCCTCATCTCCCTAATCCTCTCATCCCGTCCCACCTTAACTTCCTCCAAAAGGGTACCCAATTTCGACTTTTCCACCATTAACAACCCAATTCTCCAATCCTTCTCCTCCAATTCCTTCAAATGAATTCCATTTTTCCTGTCAATCTCTTCAATTTCATCTTCTTTATCCCTCAAATTCCTCTTCAAACCCTCATTCTCATCCCTCAATTTCCCCGATTCTTTAGCCAACCCCTTCTTCTCAACCTCGCAAACCCTAAGCTTCTCCAACAACCCATCATACCTTCTCGCACCCTTCTCCAAATTATCCCTCGCATTACTCAATTCCCTCGCTAAATCCTTCAACTTCTCATCATTCACCTCAGCTTCCCTTCCTAATCGACGACGCTCTTCCTCCCACATAATCTTTTCAGTCTTCATTTCGCCGAGTTCCGACTCGAATGCGCCGCATTTATCCCTCAAATTGGCTATAACTTCACCTTTTTCTCGCCTTATATTCTCCTCTCTCGCCATTAATTCTCTCTCAGCTTCCTTGAACTCTGAGTCCTGAAATGATGACCTTAAAGAGTGTATAATGGTTGAAATGAAAGATTGCTTCATGGAATTGACGCTCATTGTAGGTCACTGAGAAATAGAATTCAAAGAGTCATGATATTGTTGTTGCTTTGTTGGGTTTGAGAGTAGCAGTACTACAGTATTAGTACTCTGCATCTATTTGACAATAATGATTAAATGACTAATAAAACGTGGAGAAATTTTAGAGGGAAAAATGTTAGGCACGTAGAAATGCATAATAAGGCGTATTCATGTAATCATACACTAGATTAGTACTAGTGCGATGTACAATTTAAGAATTTAAAAGACATTTTTATTAATATTATATTACTCCGTATTAATTAATTAATAATTTTGCAACAACTCCAAAGAGTATTTTTTAGAAAGAAAGACTTCATTAATGCGCTTTTAGTAATTGATACTAATAGTTTTATTTGTTTTTTAAAAAAAATAATCTTCCTCATATCTGAATTTACACAAACTTTAAAAAAATCGGGTGTACAATAATTATTGTACATCCACTATAAAGATAGACTAGATTGATCAAAAGTTACCTCTAAAATAAATAAAAGTTACCCTAATATGCATAAAAGTAATCCAATACAAATAAAAATTATTTGTAAAGAATCACATTTTAAATGACTAAAAATCAATTATTTGTGATTAAATGTAATTAAATTACCATTATAAAACTTTTCTTATTGTCTATTTATATAAAAATTGTATTATGTTAAAAGTTACCCAAAAAAAGGCAAAAAGTTACCCTAAAATTAGGTAAAAGTTACCCTTATACTGCTCGATGTACAGTAAAATTAGTGTAAATCGGGTGTATACAAAAGTTTTTGTTGAATTTATTTGTTGGCAAGATAAAAAAAATTGAAAAAAATGATTGAAAAAAAAATGATGTCATAATCAATTTTGGAAGGAAATATTTTAATTAGAAAACGACATGTGTACAAAGATGGTGTCAACGGTTTTAACTTTAATACTCCCTCCGTTTTTAAATACTTGGTCCACTTTCCATTTGCGGTCGTTTTTAAATACTTGCTTCATTTCCTTATTTGGAAAGCTTTTACAATATTTAATCAATTTCTCTCACCCAGTGGTCCCAACATATATTATCTTTCCTCCAATTCTCTCCACTACTTTTGCTTTCTATAATTTTTTATTCTTCCACCAACCCCATTACCTCCACATTTTATTACTTTCTCTAATTTCTCCTAAAACTCCCCGCATGGAGAAATGGAGCAAGTATTTTAAAACGGAGGAAGTAATAATTATAGATATGTATAAACAAATGCATATTCTTGTATCATTGGATGATCAAATGATACCATTGAATATACATTGATACTATATATGTACATAATGGTATCATATATGCATTCAGTTGTACTAAATTTATGCATAAAGAGTACCACTGAGAATTTAATGGTACTATATAAACTTTCAGTGGAACATTCAGCATGTGATCCCCCATCACGTGATATAATCCGACCAAAAAATAGGTGTGGTCAACCTACAGACCTCTTTCTTCCTATCTCTCTCCTCTTTTCTCTCTCTATCATGTGTTTTTAAAATATTTTAATCAATGTTATCTATTTACAAATGCATAACATTGCTCCATTTCCACTTCCTCATAAAACGTGATGTGTATAATATAGCCAAATTATTTCTGTTGTTTCCATTTGTCGTTATGGCTTCCTTGTGAAGGAGGGATTTTGAAGGGAGGAAAGTTAGGCATTTGTAAATGCATAATTAGGGGCAAGGAGGTTTTTTCGCTATGTTTTGTTCAATTCTAGCTGGGCTCCCGTTTTTGCTTTCGATTGACATCGTAATGCTTTTTAGTGTTTTTTTTTTGTATTTATTTTCATATGTAGTTTTTGTATGTTTTACGTATATGAGCTTTGGTTTTATGTTCTCCTTAATTTGAATTCAATTCTTCCTTCTATCTCATTCTCTCTCCTCTGAGGTCGAGGTCGAATTTTCTTCTTCTTTCTGTGTTTGCTCACCGTCCTCCTTCTCCCCTCACTTCATTCTTCTTAAATTATACACCATTTTCCAATTTTCGTCGCGGTGGTCGAGGAGCTGAAGAACACTACATGTATGCCAGCTCAACCCTTCGAATAAGTAAGTTTTATTATAAAAACATGATTGGTATAACCAAAATCGACGTGTTGTTAGGATTTTGATAATGGTTGAAGTAAAACTTGTAGCTTATGAAATCGATTTTGGGTTTGACAATGATTGGATTTGATATTGGGCAATTTTAATGTTGGGATTTTCGTTTGTTTGTAATATGTGTTGTTTCGTCATATACTCCTTTCAAATTGTTTGTAGTCTGTGATATTCTTCAATTTACTCCTTTTCAATTGATTGTAGTTTGTTTTGTGCCCCAATTTATTCCCTTCCCTTTATCACGATTAATCGGATTTTTGAATTTGTTGAAGCTATCTTTTTTTTCTCAATCAATTGAAAGAATGTAAATTTAGGGTTTTATAGTTTTATGTAGCTTCGATTTTAGGGACTGAAATGTGAGCGTGGATTTTGTCATTCCCACAAATCCATTCTAAGGGTGTAGGATTTGCCCCCTAGTGGAGCTAGTTGTTAACCACTGGACTAAGTTGCTAACAGTTTTCCTATGTGATGAATGCAACGGATGTAGTTCAAATTATTAGGCTTTATTAATATGTGTTGTTATTGCGTTATGTGGTTTTGATGATTTGCTGGTTTTGATGGGTTTTAGAATATTTATTGCCACTTTGTTGAAACTGCGGTAGAAGTAAATTATGAAGAAAAAGTATGTGGTTCGGAATTTAAGTTGGCAAAAGGGGGTATGTTAAGTTTTGTGTAAAGTTTTGTGTTGCGTTTATTTTACCCTGCAAATTGTTGATATGAACATGAAATATATGGTTTGAGTATTAGGTCACTTTGAAGTCTTGTAAAGGGGCAAGGGTCTTCCAAAATACCTAAAGGACAAGGGTCTTCTAAAGTAGCTATCCCTAACCGCAAATCAAATGCTAAGACACATGAATTCCAAGTAGTATACTGAAATAGAGGAAGAGGAGGAAGATTACCATGGCTCAAGTAATTCCCAATCTGAGAATTCTATTGAGGAGGGTGAAGATGAACAATCAAGCTTTGAAGTATTAAAGGGATCGTTGATGCATTTCTTACAGAGAGACAGTAAGAAGAGGAAGTCAAAACATAATGCAAAGGTTCGATGAAAATGTGTAAGGTATTATTGTGGTTGATTCCCTGTTTTTTACTTTGTGGTGATTTTTATAACAAGTAAATGATATGATGCATATATTGTCAATAAATTGATAATGGGATGGTTTTGTTGATGGTGGGAGGCTGGAAAAAGTGAAGGACATAAAGTGTGTGCTAGGGGTGAGGGGCTTAAGACACACTTTGAGAATGTTGGCAAGGTATGAATTTATAGTGAGTGTGTAATCTTTTATTAACAAATTCTCATGGTATGAACTTATAATGAGTGTGTAGAATTTTATTGACAAATTCTCATGGTATGAACTTATAATGAGTGTGTAATCTTTTATTGACAATATTGGGTTAGTTTTGGATGTGTGTGATCTGGTATGGAAGGATACTATGGATGTTTGATTTGGTATGTAGGTGTGTTGATTTGATATGCCAGTGCATAATTATGTTGTGTGTTGTTTTTTAAATCTGCAGCAGCCGAATATTGTTTGTAGAGTGGAGTCATTTTGTGTCGTAATGCACAAGTTTGATGATGACCGGCGACAATTAGTTAGAAGGATGGGTTTTGAAGGGTTGTTGAGATTAGATATGAGAATATTCCACATCAATTTTGCTATTGGTTGATGATTATGGTAAGAGCTGATGGAACTGTTGTTTTTGGTGGTGGAGGAATGTTGCCTTTGGGTGCACTACAAGTTTGGTCTATACTTGGTATACCCATGGGAGCAAATCCTGTTCCCACACAAGTTGATATTGAATGTGCGGAGGAGTTGGAGTAGGTTAATGGGATCATTGACATGCATGGTGTTGGGTCTAAGGACACCATATCATTGGCTTCAGCTTTAAAAGTAATGTGTCCACTTGATAGTTCTGGTGATATATTCCCTTTCGGTGGTGATGAGCAGGATGAAGAGGATTTCATGACTACTTTCATGATAGTTGTGCTTGGAAAACTAATATGCACAAAAACAAATAGGTCAAACATGGCTAGGTCTTTAGTGCCTGTTGTGACAGTTGCCTCTAGAGCAATTGATTTTGACTGGTGTTCTTTTACCTTGACATGGGTATGTGATACCGCCGCTCGATTTTAGAAGAAGTTTTAAAGGATGGTTTTAGGTCTTGTTGTGGTGGGTGTCCTATGTTCCTTCTGGTAAGTTAGTGCTTAAACTTGTTATGATGTTTGTGGTTGGTGATGCTTAAATTGATTGTTTATGTTTATGTGGTTCAAATTTTCTACCTAGATCACCTACAACACGTCCTACTGTAGTGGGGTGTGTATCCTAGGATCAAGGTCTGGAAAACAAAAGAAATTCGCGCCGCCATTGCTGAGGATCGATTGTCAAGGGATAATTATGGAAAGTTGATGGTAAGGCAAAGTGTAGTTTAGAGTTGGTAAATTCTGAGTTTGGTTGTATTGTTACTGAATAGAAATATTGTGCAGCCCATAGATATTGCTTACAATGGGGAGTAGCATCCCATGATTCCAAAGGAAGGTGAAGGCCATGAAGAAGATGACGTTGTTGACAAGGTACAATTCATTTGTCCATAATCTTAGTTGGTATGTATTTAAAAATATTTAGGAAACTTAAGAATGATGTATGGTTTCCAAAAATTTGTGTTAGGTGTTGGTTCTGACACGGATCGCTCCTAGACTTGTTACCCTTGTAAAGGGGATTGTTAGGAAAGCCCCGGGAGTTTTTGGTGGCGGTGGCGGTGGTGGTGGTGGGTCATATGTGAGTGATGGTGGAGTTGGTATCAGAAACAATGAGACGAACACGAAAACCAATGACAGCCTTTGTAAGGGCCTAACGAAAGATGTTGTGAGAGATGTGGGGGAGCCACAGCAAGTAGTAGATGTTGGTGATAAAAAAAAAATACGGGTGAAGATGACAATCCAAAGTCGAAAGGAGTAGATGGTGTTGAGCGCAC